TATATTTTAATAATGCACTAAATGTTCATTAAGGTGAACACATTTTGTCACTAATTATATTTTCCAATTAAAAAATTATTTACTTAATTAAAATTTTTATATTATTTTTATAAATATATAAATGTACCCAGTAATTAAAACAATCCCTATTTGTATAAATTTAAAAATGTAAGTATTTTTAGTTTACTTCATTAGCAAAGGTGAATAGACCTCCAACTTGTCAAAATCATTGCCCCGTGTGAACTGGGAACGGGAAAGGCATTTGAAGTCCGACTGGGAATCGCTCCAACCAGTTACTTTCCTAACTGGTCCTAGTTCACTCCATTCCCAACTGGGAATGGTTCAAACCAGTTGACTCCCAACTGGGGATGGTTCAAACCAGTTGATTCCTCATCTGGTCCCAGTTGGACTCCTATTGGTCCCAGTTGATTCCCAGTTGGTACCAGTTAGTCCCAGCTGAAAGCAGTTGAGGTGCCAACTGGTCCCAGTTAGAAATTTTCGCCTGGGCTAAGCCTATACAAGAACATGGAGAGGCGCCGAAACGAAGACATCGGAGCACATATAAGGGGAAAAACACACATGGCCCCAAACATTGCTGGAGTTCTAGCCGAATTCGCTTGCCCCCGAGAGACCAAGCAGCCCTCTCACACCGTACCCGGGCTGGACGGCTGCTGTGTCGTTGATCTCAAAGGTTGATCAGTTAATCATTTGAATTTCAATTTCTTATATGTTGTCACAAATGCGGCTAGGATTCCGCGTGTTTTCTGAGATTTTTCTCATGAAGTCGGAAGATGTTTGTTTTTAGTTCATTTTTCGCTGATAATTCTGGGTTTATCAGAGTTTATTTTTGTCAAATTCCCAATCTTTTAAATTCGGATTTAATTTGCCTGTGTTGTTATAATTACAAAAAAAACTTCAAAAGCAAAATAAAGTCCGGGTACCATGACCCACTGTCTTGAAGGAACCTCAAAGGGCAAACCCCTTTTGTGAGTAGTTCTACGTATATATTTCAAAGGAAACTGAAGTGGCATGCCCCAGGACCAGTGACACTGTGCTCATATAAAGTTTATTTGTAAAACACCATCTTTTTTTTTCTGTCGTTTTGATTTTGAAATTTTGTGTTTTTCAGAAAAATATATCGACGGAAAATGTACCGGCGATTGTTCTCGATTTTCGTTGTGGTTGGCTTAGGGGTTCTAGCATTCACTTTTCGCCAATTGAGGCCGAAATAAAGTATGTTCTGGCCTAAGTATGCTCACGTGCCTAGGAGCCTAGGAGCGCTTGATCTGGTTGTGGCAGGAAGTATCATATTTATTTGAACCTAGGCCGCTATTGATTCTATGCCGACCCCTCAAAAATTGAAAGAAAAAAAAACAACCCTCGATTTTAAGTTGAATCAGAAGAAAAAGAGAAATGCAAATCTACCAATTAAAAATAGAATAATATTGCCACGTGCGTCGGCGAGCGAGCGACTGCGTGCGTGGCCGAGTGGTTACCGCGCTTGACTGTCGCGCGGAAAATCTAGGTTCGATTCCAGTCGGTGGAATGCCCTTCTATTTATTCTTTCAACATTGCGTTCTCGTGAGTTCGAGAACATTCTCGACTGATCGAGTTCCGAATTTTCTGGTCGAGAATGTTCTCTAACTCACGAGAACACAATCGTCGATCTGCGCGTCAATAACCAGGGACTCCTCTTCTTTGTACGCCTTTTATTTACGGAATATTTTTTCAGTGATATATGTAGTGCAACATGGAATGGTTCACTCAATATATAGCTCTGAGTGGGTATCTTACGCTTAATGGAGACCAATACCCATGAGGAAGGACATTCCTTGGTCATCCTGCTGAGCAACAGAGCGCAGCCACAACGGTAGAGTAGAGAGCCCTGTTGGAAAATGACTAGTCGAGGGCGATCCTGTCTCGCGCCTGTGACATTTTTCGCTGAACAAGATTGTGTCTGGGACTGAGGACGAAGAAGAAGTGTTGGTGGCGCGAGGAGGGACATTTTGGTTTTGGAACGACGAGGAAGCAGGGCAATTGTCAGGATGGATTTTACCGTGGGCATGTAAATATTAAACCAAGTCCTTTTTATAAGTCAGTTCGTTGCCCCACTCATTACGCATAAAGCCCCTTGCCGTTTATGCCTTCTTTCTGAACATTATTTGTTCCGATCTTTATGAATGAATATCCTCTATGCAAGATATAAGCGACGCGTTGTATATGACATGTTCGACTCTAACACCGCACCGTGAACTTCTTTCATATATCGCGGGTGCATTAAAATAGTCACATCTTCAATGCTAAAGTATCGGGTTTGTTAGTGCGGTAAACATACAAATACCCAAAGGTCATGCCATAAATGGCTTACGTGTTAGGCAGTAGGGTGTCCAGCTAAGTGAAAGCTACGGTGGACCTTCCCGTGCTTTGTTTGTTCCGAAGCAAACAGGCATTCACTCGACTTTTGACGTCAGGTGGTCGACAGGCTGGTTCATCTTCTGCTTGACAGTTGGGTAAATAAAAAAAACTAGGCAACGAGGCAGCGACGGCGCTGCGCCAAACAGACCAACCCCCCTCCCCCCATCCCGCTTTCTCCCCTCCTCCTCCTTTTTTCCCGCACGCGCACGCGTATTCAGACGAGCGCTTGCCTGCGACCTTGATGTAGACGAGAAACCTCTTCCGCTCGTTCTTTCCCCTCTGTTTTTGTGCTTCGCACAGGTAGCGAAGGGCGGAATACTGACGAATACTGTTTAGTTTTATACGGTTGGTCGACAGTGATATTTAACCACGTTGACCAATATTTTACGGTTATTTTTTATAGTGTACAACACTCCCGCATCAACTGGAAGCCAAGCCGCAAATAGCCGTGCAGTTGATGAAAAAGGGTGGGGTTGCTCAGAAAACATTTCTGAGCTTCCCAGAAAAGTATAAAAACCGGTCGAGTTCGCGCAACCGGCAGCCTTGAAATTTGGCGAGTGCTGATTTTATCGGATTTATCTGAAAATGCAGAAGCCACATGGGCAATAATTATCTTGGGCCATTTTTTCCTAGTTTGTACTTGGGACCATTAGTTCCGGGACCATTAGTTCCGGGACCATTAGTTTCGGGACCAGTTATTCCGGGACCATTTGTTCCGAGACCATTTATTCTGGGACCATTTGTTCTAGGACCATTTGTTCCAGGACCATTTGTTCCAGGACCATTTGTTCCGTTTCCCGAGAAGCTCATTGGGGCCAACTAACTTTACGCTGCCTAATGGTACGTTTACACTTGCGGATCCGCCAGCGAATCCGCCCAGCTTTTGCAGCTGAGGCGAAACGCTGGGCGGAAAACGCGGCGGCGAGCCGTATGGGTCCGGGACCTATTTCTGCCGCCGAACAAGGCGTTTCGCTGACCGGAAGTGACATTGTTGCGCAGCGCGACGCTGCCTACGTCATGAGTATGCATTGTTCTGGGAGCAGCAACGGCCTGGGAGAGACAACCGAGCCCGAGGTGGGACCTTTCGCGCCTTCTCGTCATATTTGACGGAATGTTACGAGAACAGCTGCCGCAGCCGGCGCCGCCGCTCGAAGGAAATATATGTAAATGCAACCCGCTCGTCGCCGCCACTGCACCGGATTTCTTCTCAGATGTAAACATACCATTAAAGTACACGCAGGGCTATTCACAGACCTCCAGCTTGTTATCCCTTGTCAGTTTCGGTTTCCTCACATGTCATAGTAGTAGTAATTTGGGAGCAATTTTTTTGTGAGGACATTCGTCCTCGCAAAAAAAAAAGAACAACAACAACAAAAACATCACACATGCAACATACACCGCAGCATTCGTTTCAATAAAGAACAAGCACAAAACAAGCATTGCAACCAGATAATTGATAATATGGTGGTCCCAATAACAATGCGAGGCACGCTGCGCTAACCGCATACGTTTTGCGGTAAAGATTACTGTTGCGTAGGGGTGTGCGAATAGTGATTTTTGAAACCGAATCGAATACGAATTGAATAATTATGGCACTGAATCGAATACGAATAGAATAATTTTCAAATAGTAAGTTGACTGCTACTTAAGGAGAGTACTGATTAAAAAAAAAAAACTTTCTATAATGTGTCTTAAAATCATTGTAACAATCCGACTAGACGACGATGATTAGACTTCTACGATATATATTTAAATAGAGACAAAAGCTACTAAATTGTTAGAATGCCAAACATAATATCAAGGTCCACGCGGATGCTGAACGTAAAATCACAGTTCGCGCGGAACTAAGAAAAAAAAATCCTACACCTTATCAGATTTTTTTTCAATAGCCATATGTGAGTGAGATGAGACAGTACACTATACATCTGATTTTCGCAGATGAGGAAATTGAGAAGGCTTGTTACGTCAGCTTGAGGTACTTATAGCTCCCATGCAAGAAAGCAAGCTTTTCCACGTGTTCTGCAGCAAGAGACTCTCATTGGCTTGTCACAGTGTTCGAGCACGTTGCGAACAGTCTCTCGCTCGCAACCTGGGTTGTGGGAATTGCCAGGTATTGTCGCGCCTCACATGCGATAGTTTTATACTTTTCTTTGCCTACAGTTTGCTACCAGTGGAATGGGCAATAGATACGTGGCAAAACTGGAGTGTGAAGGTAGTCGTAGACCTCTTGTATTAGACAACTTGGAGCATCAATCTTTTTCGGCAATACCTAGATGTTTAATATCTTCCACACTGAAGGCTGCTCACTGGTTTGAGATTGCTGTTCGGTGCAGCTTTCTTCGGACGCGAGCTGTGTTGAGTATGGTACGTCCTGAAGCATTGTACTTAGAAGGAACTTTACATTCTCTTTTTCTTCCTCGCTGTAGCAGATGTCTTTAAATCGAGGACCAAGGGAGGTGGCGAGGGCATGGGGTGACTCTTTGTTTACGTTTAGGAACCTTGTTTTCACTGATCTCAGAAGATTCTGGGAAAATGCCTTGCCTTGAGTTCCACTTGCGTCCTCAGAAAGCAACATCTTCACACAGTGAGCAAGTGGAACAACCATGGAAAGCGTTGGGAAAGACTCGGCACAAGCAGCTGTTGCGGTATCTTCAATTGGCTTCAGCACCAACACCAAGGCCGTACAAGACGCCATTCGTCCGTGGTCAAGTTCTCAAAGGTATCGGTTTCTGCCAGGTTAAGTGCAACAGCGGCCTAGAGCTTCAACAGGCGTGCCAGCATGGCGTACTTACTATTCCATCTTGTGGCTACATCTTGTAGCAGCTCAAGAGGAACTTATATGCCCATCCTCTTTTGTTTATCTATCAGTCTTGCCCTTGCACTGCTGCTCCGTTTGTAGTACCCCACATTTGGCGTGCACTTTGAGGCACACAATTGCGAATCCCTTGGTTTCTTTGTTGGCATCTTGAACGCCAAGCTGCAAGGTATGTGCAGAACAAGCAGTGTGCACCCACGGCGTTCAAACAATCGCAGAAACAAAGTTCCAGGCGTTTCAGTAACCATGAAGCAAGAAAGCGTCAGAGGTATGCCCCACTCCTCAGATATGTCCTCGATCAGAGAACGCACATTCTCCGCAGTGTGGCATTCACACATGCAGCGGTACGCAAGCACAATGCAGTAAAGGCACGAAGTTCTCACTCATCACATGGCATGTCACTAACACATAACTGTCGCCAGCTTGTCCAGCCGTCAGTGGTGATGGCGATACACCCCACGTCCTTCCATAGGACGCTGTGCAGCAAAGTGTGGAAAGCATATCTAGCAGCATCATACATTTCCGGTACGACAGTCCTCGAGAACGTCGTTCATTCGAGAGGGAACGTTGTACTCGAGCACTGCACATTTCTTCAGCTCCAGAAAAGCTGGTTCCACTGCGACTGTGTAGCAGTGCAAGCCAGTTGCGATGACGCTGCCAATTTTGTTTGTTACTGCCCTGGCGCGAACGCTCTGATTACTCAGGCGGGGCTTGAAACCCAGCATCATACTTGCTTCCTTGGACTTTGGACCATGACGTTGGTCTGCCATAGCAGCTGCGCTTTCATACTCCTTGCGGGCCCCGGATGACGCTTCAGGCGATTCAACAAAGGCGTCGTCGTGTTTGTTTGCGTTTTCAGGATGGCGCCACACACAAGGAACTTTAACGAGAGAACCAGAGAATTGCTGCAGAGTCCCAGGCATTCATGGCGGACGCCTTGGCAGCCGCCGTTGGAAGGGCCTTGGCCCATAACGTCACCGCCGGAGGGCCTCCGCCCCAGTCCACCCCCAGCCCCAGCCGCCACCCGTCGCCGCCTTCGGGGGACACCGTCTCCAACCTGGAGCTGACGCCCAGCCAACAGTCGCTGGCCTCCCAGCTTGAGTTTCAGCCCTCCGCTTTTGGGAATTGTCGAGTTTTAGATACCCCATGAATGACATTAGGTACCTCATAGTTTAGATACCTGGTATACCTCATGACATAATAAAATACATGGCACCAATTACCTGACACTCCAAAGAATATTTTGTATTTCTTGTTTACATTTTTTTTTCTGTTCAGACGTCCCGCACAACGGTTATGGTTGATGAAAACCTGCAAAGAATGATATACCTTATGATTACATAACTTCCCATTTCTGCCTTAGAATCATAATACATTACAGTATTGCAATTTCTCCTTAGTTTGGATTAGAGTAGAAACTCTACCCTCTTCCTTCTCCTTTCTACCTCGTACGCTGTCTGTTGTTAATGTAGGAGGCGGTAGCAGCACTTGAATTATTTCGTCAACTCCACGGATTCACTGGGCGTGGTGTGGAGCCGCGACTCCTCAGCCTCCAGGAGCTGCAGCTTCTGGACGTAGTTTGCGATCTCGAGGTACAGGGCCACCTTGACGTCCGCCAGGTCCTGGATCTCCGCTTGCGGCCGGGAGATTTCCTCGTCCTTTGCCAGCAGGTCCCGGTTGTGCATCTCCCGCTCATGGTCCAGCAAGTGGACCGGGAGCGTCTCTATGGATGCCTGACTTCATCCGAAACTAGTTTTCTTGCTCCTGCCAGCAAACTGGTTCCGAGCTCGGTTTGTCTCACCTCTGTTGCCTTGAGAGCAGCTATTGCATTGATTTCGAAAATCATCTCGTCGCTCAGTACTTGCTGGCGGGTGGTCTGCACTCCTCCTGTGGAGTTGGTTCAGTAGAAATCGTAGGAATAGCATCTTTTTTCAACATCTTTCTACGCTTACCTGGGCAAAAATCTTCAAGGGTGAAGTGAAGGCTGCACATTTTTGAGTAGTCGCTTGGTTTCCATGGAGCTTGTCCTGGTCCTATTTCGTAAACAGAATGTAAATTACTGTGCTTAATATTTCAATATATGTTCATACTTCATACCATATATGTGCAACCCGTCGAAGGGGACTAAGACCCGTGGCATTTAGTGATAAGAGCTGCACTCAATGATCATCTTTTGGGAATCGTCGAGTTTTAGATACCCCATGAATGACATTAGGTACCTCATAGTTTAGATATTTGGTAATACCTCATGATATTATAAAATACATGGCCCTCCGCTGCCACCCAGACCGCAGCTGCCGCTCCTCCAGAGCCCCGGTTCTTCGCCCCGTACGCTGCCTCCGCCGACCCCGGGCGCTTTTTTACTCCACCAGACGTCGCCTACAACCCCTATACGGTCTTTAACCCCCAAGTCGCCGGGCGACGTGTCTTCACTGTCAATGACCCACCTGCTAAGCGAGACATCGCGGAGGCTTTCATTCGTGTGCAACAAGTGTCGAGGCACTCTCAGCACATCGGCCGCCGCGAAATCACAAACTCCAACTCCTCGAGTGTTTTGTGCAATTGTGGGACTGTGTGCGGCCTTCACTTCAAAAGTGAAGGCCGCACACTTTTGGGTAGTCGCTTGGTTTCCATGGAGCTTGTCCTGGTCCTATTTCGTAAACAGAATGTAAATTACTGTGCTTAATATTTCAATATATGTTCATACTTCATACCATATATGTGCAACCCGTCGAAGGGGACTAAGACCCGTGTCATTTAGTGATAAGAGCTGCACTCAATGATCATCTTTTGGGAATCGTCGAGTTTTAGATACCCCATGAATGACATTAGGTACCTCATAGTTTAGATATTTGGTAATACCTCATGATATTATAAAATACATGGCCCTCCGCTGCCACCCAGACCGCAGCTGCCGCTCCTCCAGAGCCCCGTACGCTGCCTTCGCCGACCCCGGGCGCTTTTTTACTCCACCAGACGTCGCCTACAACCCCTATACGGTCTTTAACCCCAAAGTCGCCGGGCGACGTGTCTTCACTGTCAGTGACCCACCTGCTAAGCGAGACATCGCGGAGGCTTTCATTCATGTGCAACAAGTGTCGAGGCACTCTCAGCACATCGGCTGCCGCGAAATCACAAACTCCAACTTCTCGAGTGTTTTGTGCAATTGTGGGACTGTGTGCAGCCTTCACTTCAAAAGTGAAGGCTGCGCACTTTTGAGTAGTCGCTTGGTTTCCATGGAGCTTGTCCTGGTCCTATTTCGTTAACAGAATGTAAATTACTGTGCTTAATATTTCAATATATGTTCATACTTCATACCATATATGTGCAACCCGTCGAAGGGGACTAAGACCCGTGGCATTTAGTGATAAGAGCTGCACTCAATGATCATCTTTTGGGAATCGTCGAGTTTTAGATACCCCATGAATGACATTAGGTACCTCATAGTTTAGATACCTGGTAATACCTCATGATATTATAAAATACATGGCACTAATTACCTGACACTCCAAAATATTTTTTATTTCTTGTTTACATTTTTTTTTGCTGTTCAGACGTCACGCACAGTGGTTATGGCTGATGAAAACCTGCAAAGAATGATATACCTCATTATTACGTAATTTCCCTTTCTGCCTTAGAATCATAATACATTACAGTATTATCCAAATTATCCAAGCACCGAGGTGCATGCTACGACTGTAGTTGCACATGTCGCACGTGCTGGCGTCTGCAGTAGTAACCGTTCTAAAGCAAAAAGTATAAAACAAATTTTGCCTTGCACGCGCGTTTGTTAAAGCCTCATTATGACTTTTTACTTCAAATCTTTTATAAGAGGAAGGCCAGCGTGCGTGAACCGTAGAATCACACTTCCAGCGTTCTCCTCGCGATGCTTGGATAATTTAGAAAAAAGGTCTTTTGGGACACCGTCTGCTTTTGTGTGCTATCAACAATCCGCTTTCCAAAGACGTTGTCATGCCGACAATTATCGCGTTCATTTAGGCTTAGGAGTGTCAAGAATCGAAACACTATCTAAAAAATGCGGCGATGTCATTGCCCATGCTTTGCGGTTTAAGTGAGGTAAGGCAAAGCGAAAGCCCCCTGCACCATTCGTTGCTGACTAACGCGCCCGATATTGCAACCACAACGACATATTAGTTCCAAAGCGAGCGGCGCTCACTCACTGGGACACCGCCATGTTTCTCCGCATCCCTACGGAGCCAGTCACGTGATCTCAAAATCCCTCTCCTAGGTACTGCGGCTAACTTTAGCCGCGGTTAATGGTTCGAGCAAACGGACCCAGGTGATGCCCCAAGGAAAGGGAACCGTTCATGGATGTGAAGTCCAGTGGACGTCACAACGGTGTCCTTATCTTGGAGACGGCACCAATGCCTATAGGCCTCCACAGCAACCGGCTCGGTTTCTAGCCCGTAGCGGCGTGGATCGCTCGGGTGGTGGTCGGAGCATTGCTTCAGTTTTTTAGGGTAGAGGATGTCCCTCACCAGGCCTTCGCGTTTTCTGCAGGACACTGTTTTTTTTTAATTTGGAAGCCATGATATTTCCCACCCTTTCTTTAAACCAATTGTCATTTTCTGTCTGTCCAATAGTGGTGGTCCTGATCCTTTCAATTTGTTCTAGACTGAGTGGCCTGATTTCCTCAAAATGCTCGTCACACGGGGACTGCGCACTCTTTGATAGCAAATCCTCCGTGTGCGGAAGAGGAGGGGACGGGTTTGGTTGGCTGGCTTCGTCATCTGCATAGCGGAGCCAGAGCACATTTGGTCCACTCTCTTTCAGCGACGCAGCAAGAACATGGAAAGGGTCCCCTTCTGTGGAAGTGATGGGCTGGGTGTTCCTTTGCTTCGGTTTGTCAAGGGCCGCCTTGCCCTCCTTCACCTTCCAAAACCAGACCTTGTCCAGTTCCGTTGGGGCTGGTCTCTTCTGTGCTGAAAGAGACATACTTGTGATTAAATAGGCATCAACATAGCAAGACATTGTGTGCTACCGACCACTGTATGACATTTGAGCGAATTCCAGATTTTGTGGTGATAACTATCCCTGAGAAATTTTGAGGTCTTATTTGGCCATAACAGTCAAATGTCTCACTTTAAAGCAGACACTTGTTCCCAGATGAAAGTATGTGAGCAGTACCACAAACATGGAAGTTTCAGCCTGCTGTAGTTATTAGGAAAACAATGTACAGATACTAGGTCTTGTCAACAGATGGGGTATTATAGGGCGTTCCACCTAACAGTGAAAATAAAAAAGGCCTCTCAAGATAGAAAAAATATTCTTCCAGACTAACATAGTCGAAAGCGGTAAATGTCAGGCATGAGTGTAGTGTTATAAATTGCATAATAATTACCCAATAATGCACACATCTCAAGGAAAAGAAGTGACCATTGCACGAATGCCATCCTCACTGCATTTATCTGGCTCTGCGAATGTCAGTTGGGGATTTAACCGTGACGGTTAGTTTGATAAACAACTAAACTTTTTTTTTTATTGGTCACACTGTAATCATGGTCTGAAAGGCAGTCATTAATAGAGACTGTAATCACTTATACATTGTGAAAAAAGGCTACATGGCATAAGCTAGTCATTATTTCTTCATATTTGTGTTGTCCAATTCATGAGTCAAACAGAAGAATACTTCTGGTAGGCACGTTCTCGTCGTCATGGTAGCATGTTGTTACCTTTCTGGTTGGCACACTATGTTATAGTGGTTCAAACTGTGATAATGACCGCCCTTCAAAGTTGAAGTATATCACTCAAAAAAGTGTGACATGTAAAATTTAACACAGTTTAGCTAAGCATCATTGCAGTCCTTGGGGTAATCCCAATAGCAATAAATGACAAGTACAATACACACACGATGAGAAAGGACTCATGGATTGAGCATTTTGTTCCAGGACCATTTGTTCCAGGACCATTTGTTCCATTTCCCGAGACGCTCATTGGGGCCAACTAACTTTACGCTGCCTAATGGTACGTTTACACTTGCGGATCCGCCAGGAAATCCGCCCAGCTTTTGCAGCTGAGGCGAAACGCTGGGCGGAAAACGCGGCGGCGAGCCGTATGGGTCCGGGACCTATTTCTGCCGCCGAACAAGGCGTTTCGCTGACCGGAAGTGACATTGTTGCGCAGCGCGACGCTGCCTACGTCATGAGTATGCGTTGT